AGATAACATCCCATCAAAAAGGAAATAAAATTAACAAGCCTTTTTTATCTGCAACTTTTAATATAGACAGTATTATTTTTCATTAGATGCTGAGGGGTTTTTTAGCCATTATGGACAAACATTTTAGAAAACCTATAAACCAGCACAGCAAGAGTTTTCCCTAAATGGGAGCTTTTCATGTTTTGACTATTTTTTTTGGAAACAGACAATGCAAAGTTTGTGACTAGTTTTACTTGAGTGAAATTCTGTAACTTTCCTAAAGCAGAGTAACAAAAACACTGAAGACTCGAGAGCAATTGAATAATTTCAAATAATAATTTATAAGAGCAGTAACTAAAAAAAAAACAGAGCAGGTTTCTCAAGAGAGTATTTTAATTTTAAAATGAAGTCACTTGCAGTGATTTCCTCTTCTTTAACAGAATCATAGAATCTCCTGAGCTGGAGGGGACCCACAAGGATCATTCAAATCCAACTCCAGGCCTTGCACAGCACAGCCCAGGAGTCACCACAGAGACCTGTACTGTGCTTCTCCAGCTACTGAACTTTTATTTGGTACAACTTATCTTTTATATAAGTTAAAATTAAATAGTCTTAAGCTCTGCAGAAAGCACACTACACAGGGCAACATCAGCTTATAAGACAGAACCACCACTTTTTCCCCCACAGTAATAGCAACCTTTTTATTTCCAGTTCTTAGCTGGGTTCTCAGGGGATGGTTTCCATATATACAGGAAAAGTGCAGAGCATAAGGCAACAGCATATGCTTCCCCACTTCAAGCATTACCACAGCAAACTGAAAGGTCATTCTAATTAATCAGAGTTATTTTGGTGATAAAGAATTACCCAAATTTGTCCTAAGCTGACTGAGGAGGCTGCAGGCCAGCAGGAAGCTTGTTCAAAGCAACGAACTAAGGATACAGTTTTGTGACAGCCCATCACCACCGGGACACAATTACCATCAGTCTTAAAACACATCCACTTTTAACCTTCCAGGTGAGATCTGAAAACCCAGAAAAAGTGTCTACCTGTTGTGTCGAGCTGTCCTTGCTCCAGCTGGGTCTCATCCACCACCAGGGAGGTGTTGCTGGCCAGCTGCAGCACCCCAGTGACCAGGCGGTTGGCGGCGTAGTCCTTGTGCGGGATGAAGCGCGAGTGGTTCATGTTCTCGATGGTCATCTGCAGCCGGTGGGACTGCAAGGACAACACACACAGCACTGAACATCTCCCATGGGAGAATGATGCTGTTCACAGCTCCCATCCCCTGCACTGCACAGCCAGGATGAGCTGAACAACAAATGCTTTATTGCAGCCATACCATTATTACAACCCCAAACTGAATTACTATGGAGTTTTCTGGACAACGGTGTCCACAAACTTGGGAATACACCATAATTAAATGACCTTAATGTCAAAATATGAATCCAGAAAGACAAAATAAAGCATGCAGCATCTGTCTGTCACCTCTGAGGAGAGGATTTTATTCCATATTCATTCTAGATGATGTGGCACATAGAGACACGAACATACAGGCAAGCCACACCTCTGCTGTACCTGCTCCCTAAAAGGGTAGCGGGAGCCTTCATTTAAGCAGCCTCCCTTAGAAATTAAAGAATCAACTAAAGTGTTGTTTCTTGGTTGAAACAAGGAGAACAACATCTCTCCCCAGAAACACTGGAGCCCCCCAAGGCTTACTGCTGGCACCAGCTGCTGGATGATGCGGTAGATGTGCTCGGTGAAGATGCTGTTCCTGGGACAGCCGCTCAAGTTGACCGTGAATTTTCCCAGAGGAAGCACATCTCGTCTTGCATAACTACAGCAAAAACAGCACAGGTTAGATGAGCCTCTGGTTAACACTGACCACAGGTATCACTCAGCTGGAGTGTTGTGTGGCACCTCTGACAGCCAGGATTTCACATGGGTAACAGCCAGCTCTTGTTCCTGCCCCAGGGCCCAAGGACTGAGCCAGGTCGAAGCTGCTCCTGAAGGCTTTGCAGCACTGCACAAAGTACATTTCCAGTGCCTGGGATCCTGCCATGTGCCTTCCAGACGTTCTGTTCTCCTTGTACTCTATTGTTACTCAGTAAGCACACCTCATTCTTTTCCTTTCTCGTGCCCAGTCTCAATTTCCCTGCTTATCAACTTGGTCATCTCCTTTACCTGCCCTCAGCTTTCCTCTCCCTCTTCTCCTGTGTATCTTCTCCCCATTCTCGACAACTCTCAACCTTTTTATGATACCAGCTAAGAAAGAAAATACATTCTAGTCTAAGTGTCAGAGCATTCAGTCCCACTACAAAGAATGAAAGCAGAATCCATTTTAATTTTGAACACTAAAATGACTAACATTAAATTTGAGCTGGACAACTAAGCAAAACACACTGTCTGAAGCTTCACACCTGAGATTTTAATGAGTCATTTCATCCAGTCACAGTTTAAAATTACATAAAAGTGAATTTCTATCCCATGCTAAATAGGGTCACTTGAACTTGCCATTAAACACATTTTAGCATTTAATTAACAAATTCCCAGAATGTACCTTCCAGTATGTTGTAATACCTAAACAGTAATTCCTGCAGTAAATGCTGTCTTTGAGAAGTCAGTTCCATGTCCTACTCTATAGAAGAAGATAGAGGCAAAAAGATGTTTTCATGTGTGAAAGTGTGTCTTAGAGAGTTTGTTCAACTCTCAAAGGAAAAACAAAAGGATACACTGGCCTTTTATAATTATTTACTGGCCTTATAATTATTTACTGTTATTTCACACACTGAAATCTGCCTCTGTGTTTACTGTGACGGGACAACTCTAGGTGGACAAAGTACTGCTGAAAAAAGCACTATTTAAGGTGTTTCTGCCATTTATTTGCAGATCGGTGAAGAACCCCATAAACAGAGATGCCTTTTGAATGTTGAATATTTAAATTCTCAAACATCTAAATACTTACACTGTAGAGATGAGATGCAGTATCAGGTATTCAGCAGCCAAACTGTCTCCCAAGAGGGCATGGGTGAGGAACCCCAGCAACTCTGCTCTCACTGGGGACAGCTCAGACATAAAATTAGAAACAACTGCCAAAAAAACGCAAGACAACAAATGTCAGAAAATGTGCTGTTTCTCACCCTCCTCCCTCTAAATCTTACTTTCAATTACAATTTGATGAGGAAAAATGTTTATTCCAAAGCAGTCGAGGAAAAAGAAACAAACACTCATTGTTTTTTCCAGCTGAGCAATTACTGGCTTTGGATAATTTGAATCACTCAACATTTCCTTGGAAATGCTTTCTTTTTTTAAAATTAGATTTGCAGAATGCTACAAAGTTTGGAGCCAAATTTCTAAAATAATAGCCCACCTATTTTATTTTAAAGGTGGAAAAAAACCCCCTTACATGTGACACAGCTCAGGACAACCAACACAAGGCGCTCAAGGAAGAAAATTACAAATATCAAAGGTTTGCAAGCAATAATTCAATGACAAAATCATAACAGTCAAACAGGCCACAAGGAATAGCACAGTCACTTAAAACAGAATTGCCTTGTTGTTTGCACAGTATGATTTTTCATATTGTCAGTATGTTTCTTATTTCCACTGTCATACTGATTTGGAAATCTAATTTTCCACCAGTTCACGACTCCATCTGAAAACTAATCAAATCTTATGGCTGAACAGCTCGGTAAAATCCTTGAGTGCTTCAAATGCACAACCAAGTTTCATATAAATCACATTTATTTCAGACAAGTAAAACCATAACCATGACACAAACACAAACACTTGCATCTTGTTCAGTTCTGCGGTGTTGAATGGCTCAAGATTTTAACAAGATTTAAATCCAGAGCCTGTTGTTGAGGCATTTGCCTCTGAGCAAAGCAGTGTTTGTTCACCTGTGCTAGGAAATGTGCCCAGAGCTGAGATACTCACAGGTTTTACTCTCCTCTTCCTTAAGGCAGGCAGGCAGCAGTGGGTTAATGTGTTGCAGCTTCTGTGCCAAAATCACGTGGATTCTGGGCACTAATGAGGCAGGAGGGCTGTGCACTCTCTGTTCCTCTGCTGTGTCCATACATTCCATAGGATCAAGGGTTGAGCTGTCCCTAGGAAAGGGCACAGCACAACTGGGCTTAGAAACATTCCCCAGGAATTCCTCTCCATGTGACTGAGGGCAGCTGGAACCAGGCCAAGAAGGGAGCGGGGTCGGAACAAACAACATCCGCTCCCAGCTCCTGGGAACTCCTCCCATGTGCAAACTACCCTCTTTAGGATTTTTATAGACACCAGAAATACCAAATCACAATTATATAATGGTACAGAAATGCTAAAGCAGGCCTGGCCAGAAAAATCTGGATTCTATTATCTTCAGAAAGTAATCAAATCGTACTTTTCTGGAAAAAAACCCAAACAACAAAAACCAACAAACCAACCCCCAAAACCAAACAAACCCACATTTAGTATTTACTGCATCATTTTATAATCTGTAGCTTCAAGTCAAATGTTACCCACTGTTCTGTACAGCATGTACAGAATGAAGTCCAAACAGTAACTTTTAGGAAAATAAGGTCATGATTTATTACATTTGCCTGTGTAGGAACATGTGGGATTTTCTTATTCCACTGGGTTCTGGAACCTGACAAGATCTTCTAGACAGTCACATAACAGCTCAATCACTGGCTGAATAAAAAAATTATGAGTAAATAGATCCTAATGTACCTCAGCTCCAACCTGGAGGTATTACCTCTTAATTTAAAAGTTCAGATACAGGAGCTTTGCTCTCCCTGAAGATGTCTTACAAAATTCCTTCCAGGTGGTTTTCATTTGTCATGTAGAAACTAAAGTCCCTAAAGTGACTATATCAGATGATGCTAAAGTTTAGCACAAATTTAATCAACTTGTACTGGTTCTAAAAGCTGACAGGCTTTACAACTTCAAAGCCACTTCAGCAGTTCACCAACACACTGCCCACCCCTTTCCATTAAATTTCTTTTGTTTGCACTCAAAACATTGCTAAATGCCACCAGTTTGTCTCTTTGTGACAGAATGACACTCAGAGGGGAAAAAAAGACAACAACCTGTGACAGAGCAACTGAGCTGTGAGTCTGGGATTAGCTGTCACACAGATGATAACCAAGAGCAGCTGAGTTAATTTTTAAGAAGTTGGCACTATAAAGGATTCACACTGCACTCTGGATATTGTACTGATCAGAAAGATAAACAAAATCACCAACAGAAATAATTCAGAGTGCAATGGTTCAAGACATCAGTAGTGTTTATGTTAGACTGGACAAGAGTTTTGTTTTAAAAATTGATTTCTTGCATCCTGGATTAGTTTGTATTTTGTCAGAGAAGTAACTGCAGAACAGCAGGTGAAAGGGGAAGTTTTTATCAGTGGCACAGCATGATAAAAACCTTAATTAATTAAAAATACCTTAATTAATGAAAAAATCAACCCAATTTTTACTCAGTTTGATCACTACCAGTCTCCATGCAGACATGCAAACTTTTTTTTTTTTATACTCTTCTGAAATGTTTATGGTAACAACTTTCATGGACTTAGCAGTTACTTCAAAAGGACATTTTGTACTTTTAAAGCTTATTTGAAAGCTTGTTCACTATTCACTCATGAAAGTTTAATAGGCATGAAAGAATACAAAACATTTAGCAATAGAAGCACTTTCTGCTTTATGGACTGTACAACAACCTAAAAAAAAAAGATGCACTGTATATCCAAGGGTATGGATGGACCAGAGCACAATGGACTTAGTTTACAAGACACTGATCTAACACTTTCCTTATCAAGCTTTTTTAAGCAACAAAATTCACCTGTTGAGCATAACTGTTCTGTATTTACACATTTCCTTGTCTGCTCACTGAAACATTTCCTTCGTCTGAGGGCAGCCTTACCTCTCCTCACTGTTTACTAAGCTCAGCACTGGATCCACGGATAAAACACCATAAACCTCCAGCACATCGTTGACTTTGAAGCTCTCCCAGCTCTCATAGACCTGTCCCAAAAGGAAACAAAAGACAGGGGCAGATGAGCCAGATGCAGGGTGGAAAAAACCTCAGGAGACTGGAGTGTGGGCTGAGAACAGCCTGTGTGAACAGGTCTCTCCCAGGCCTTGGTGTAACCAAGCTTACATTGGAAAAGTGAGTTTCTATGATCCCATTTTTTTTCTATTAGCATTCTTTGCCACACAAATGTAAACAACTGTATTCTGTTTTATCAAGATCTGCTGAATAAGAGGAGTCAGTACAGAAACAGCATAGAAATCTTGTGTTGAAGTTTCATAGTCAATATGGCACAGTAGGGAATCAAGGACTATTTTAAATCCAATAAACAAATGTGTAGTTTATTGTTTTTTTTCAGCTTGTTCCATCACAACTTTTTTCCTTTAGAGGAAAAATCCTAAAAGCAGAAATTCCAGCTAGTATTGGACTTCTGTTTTTTTTAAACTGTGATGAAAAGGTGCAAACCAAGAAGTGCTGCTGAGGGACTTCAGCAGTTCAAGTGCAGCACTCAAGAACAGAAACAATGTAATAGTGAAGAGAAAGAATGCAATGATCTGTAGAAACAAAATTATTGACTGGAGAGACAATTTCTGTGCCTATAAACCTGTCTGCAAGACTAACTACTTACATTCTAACATGGGATTCTGTCTGCAGCACTGAGGGAGACAGAACCCTGCTCATCATCCCCTCTCCACTTCTGTTACCTTGACAAGACATGCTGGTCCCTTCTCTCCTGGCAATGGAAAATTGAGGTCAAGTGGAGGGGAGCAGTTGGGAGAAATGAGATGATGACCTGCAGGAGCTTCTGTTTCTAATCTCTTTGGCTCCACACATCCATGGATATCACCTCCACTGCCTGAAAAACACAGGATTTGTAGGCTCTTTAAACAGCAATGCAAAACTGAACAACTTCCTTCAGGGAGCAACACAGAATTAAACTAATTTAACAAAACATTTGAGAAAAAAATGTTTAGTAATGCACTATATTTGACATCCAAAAAGTCTCACAAATGCATATTTTATATTGTCAAATTAAGTGTGAGTGAGAGTACTGATAAAGATCTGTGTGTCTTGGAAACCCAAATGTGGCCAGAAATCTGATTTTCAAAATGTAATGTTTATATTGGGTGAATGATTTTTCTTTAAAGTCCATAAGACTGCAAAGGTAATATATTTCTGCACTTCAAGCTAAAAACCCAGATAGTTCTCAAAGGTAAGTATATGCCTAAAGAATCAGCTTACACTAAAAAATTGTAGATTTTCAGCAATAATACAGCAATAAAAATCTGTTCTACAATTGATCAGTCTCGGGTACAAAGACAAGCCAGTCTGTACTACCTTGCAAACTGGTAAGAATACAAAAGGGAAATCCTGAGTCCAGCTAATGAATCCAACAGACACAGAACACTGAACCAAAGAAAGCAGTAACTTCTACATTTTTTTATCTTTACCAGGGCCAACAACTTAAACTAACCACTTCCTCTTGTTGAAAAGAAAACTTGCCAAAATCTTCAAGAACCTCATTCCAGTTTAAGTGGAATCTCCATGGATGAGCATCAAAACAAATAGTTCACAGACTGATTACAGCATAAACAAGAACTGCCAGTGTTGAACCTCTGAAAAGGTTCAAATGCTTTCTTCAGGATGCTACAAGTGTGACATGGATCTTGTTCCTCTAGGAAGCTGGATTAGTAAAACACATTGGGAAAAAGGGAAAGCTGGAAGATATTTGTTAGATACACACTCTGTAGCAAAGCAGCACCTCATTGACATGGAATTCAGCTTCAGTTTACACAGTCAGACCCACACACGGTGTGAGAGACAAAATTACATGATTTCCCTCCCCTTACTATGAAACCTGTAATGCAGTGGGAAATTAAACGCAAACTCCTCAAGTTCAACCTGCTGCTCTAAATTGTTTGTGTGCTGTTCCACACCAGAGGCAACACAGCAGTGCTGCTGTACAAAGGATTGCTTTCAGGAATTAACTCCACAAAGCCATGCCAACAAGTTGTACAGCCCACATGTAACACTGTAGACTCTCTCACTCTACTTCAGATCAAACCACTGATGACTTCAACAAAGCCACCAAATGAGTTCTGAAGGCTGCACCAACACCAGTGATTCAAAACAGCTGCAAATATTTCAGTTTTTAAACCAGAAATTTTAACAAATTCTGGAAAGATACCATAACTATTCATCAATAGCAACTGTTACCCATATGCTGCTCCTTCTGTTTGGAGGGATGCAGATCCATGTCCTCATCTTCCTCGTAGCTCCTCTTGTGGCGACTCGGGGTGTAGGAAGTTGAAGGACTAACTCGGGCTTGGCTGGCACTGATATAGGCGTGGAATTGGGGGTTAAGGACAACCACAGACTGAGCAGGGACAACTCAAGCACAGGAAGGTTTGTTTGTTTTTTTTAAACAAAATTCTAGTGTTCTATTTTGAGCAAGACATTAAAATAATGAATCAAACTGTTACCCAGGTGTCACCTCTTCAGACACACAAATAACCTGCTGCAGGAGTCTAGAGACTTTGCTGAAAACAGAAACTAAACACCAACAAGTGCTATTCCACCATCAGCCTCTAAAAAAGGGGTTTTTTTCCAAGAGAACATGCTCATGGTCAGAAACAAATCAAAAATGCAAGAATTTTCTCTCCCACATCTCATTCATTTGCATCCTCTTTGTGCATATAACACATCACCAGTTTTACCTTTCTTCTCTTTCTACAACTGCCACCTCATCTGATTCACCGAGAAAAAAGAAACTTTAAATAAACTTATCTCCTTCAATCTCATTAGTTGGTGATCACTGATTGTATAACAGTCAAAAAAGATATTTCTTTCACCCATGCAGATTCCCCAGGCACTGGAACGCAGTAGAGAGTCTGTCTCTCCGAGGTGACTGTTTGTGAGGAGTTCAAATCAATCTCCTGCTGAGGCTGGAACACCAAGGGAAATTCTGTTACAAATCTGATTACAGGTTGTTTTAAAGCAATCCCACAGATTCAGTTACTCAGCCAGAAGTTACAACTAACATACTCATGAAACAGTGATCCCAAACAGTCTCTAATGTTTTGATTCCAATTGCACAGCAGTACCAGAAGGAGCTGTTTTCCACAGCAAACAGTTTCAGAGTCCCAGGCACTCCCCCCTCAAACCAAGGCACTCCCCCCTCAAAGCAAGCAAAACAAATTTGAAATAAAACAGAAACAGCTGGAAGCCTCCTGAAATTAGAATGCCAGGGAGCAGTCATGAATACTTTGCTTTCCAAACCTGAGATTAATTCTGCATTTCAAGAGCAGTATCCTCAGGAATCCACGGGCAAGTACCAAAGAAGTTCTATCACACTTATAAACAGCAACTTTCCATCTAATATTTCATCTCAAAATTTGTGTAACTTGTATAACTTACCCCACATTCTGCCACATCTCTGTATTTGCCAAAATGCAAAACCTGTCAAGAAGGAAAAGGCAATGCAGTCATTCTTTTTCTGAAGGAATCCTGAACAGGAATCACACCAAAATCACTGCAGTCCAAAATCCCCCACAGATACACTGCCAAAGCTTTCCTTATTTTAATATTTACTTTTTCTCAACAGAAATATGACAAGTGATGTACTAGTGATGCTATTTGAGTCAAACACACTTATTACTAAATAGTACCCAAACTCCATAAGTTTAACTCAGGAACTAGAGATATATGAGAACTGGAATGGATAAAATGATAAGCATTTATTAAAATAATAAATCAGTATTTCACTTACACGTGCATTTGTGTTTGGGTCAACTGTCTCATACACTCCCATGTAAAACTCAGGATCAAACATATCTTGAACCATGCAGCGAAATTTCACCAAACTGTTGGGTTTTAGGTAATGTACAGGAACATCATTCAGTGATGGAACCTGCAAAAAAAAGAGTTTATTCTACAGAACTGGTATATATTAAGCACTGAACTAAGCCAAAAGCAGGTGGTATAATTCAACATTAAAATGCAACAAAAACCAGAAGTGCCCCTGTAGGAAATGGCATTTTAACAATCATATATCACATCATGTTTCTCTTGAGTAAGAAAATGTGCTTTCAATTCCTTCTAATGTTGTCAATGTGACTTGATTTTTCTCATTTACACTTTGATTAAAACTATGTTCGAAAAATAATTAAAATGAAAAATGATTAAAAATATGATTGAAATATTAACTATAGAACCCTCACGAAGAAAAACAGAAATCAAATAATTTTCATCTGTTTTCTCAGCCATAAGTAAAACAGATTTGATGTGAAACTTTCTAGTCCCCTTAGCAATGTTTCACGATGTCATTTTTCCTACAGCTTTTTAAAAAAGTATCAGCTTTTGAACTCACCTGTGCACGTCTTATTTTTAAACCTTAAGCACAGCTTCCCTGCTGAACTGCACAAAGCCAGCCCAATAAAGCACAGTTTTAGCAGAGAAAGCGTTTTGTCCTAAAACCTGAAAGCCCAGGCAGCTACTTCTTCAACCCACACCAAAGTTTTCAGCATCTTGATAAAAAAAACACTCCCGAAAATGACAATATTTGTCAGCTCCTGCCATCTACTGACTGTGCTGCAGAGCGGCAGCACCAGCGGGGATGGCCCGGGGCAGGAGCTGGGCTGAAGGCAAGGCTGAAATCCCACTCGGGATTTCACAGCCTGGCTTTGCACACAGGTTAAAAAAAAAAGCAGCCGAGATGTAAATAACATATCCTTAAGCCTGGGTCTGAAATCCGGCCCTGTACTTATCACGAAAAGGAAGAACTCCAACGCGAGTCACTGCAATAAAATGTAAACAACAACGAGGAAAGTGTAAGTCTAAAAGAATCAAACGCTCTTACCCAATTAGTGGCGTTATTTTCTTTTAATTTTTCCTTGAAGTATTCGGTTACCTTCTTTTCCCAATCAGAGTTTGGAACATTTTGGGCTACAAAAAAACCACATTTACACGCGCATTAGCACCGGTAACAGACCTCTATCCAGCATTCTCCAAACACGGCAAACAAAGCAAACTTTTGCTTCTATTCTGGGGAAGCAGGTGCAATTTAGACTACAAATGACTGCATTTTAGTGTAATTTATGCCTCTTGTAACTCATGACTTCACATTTTACAGGCTTCCAGGCCAACCAAGATGCACAGAGCCATTCTTGGAGCGAGGAAAAGCTCCACAAAGCCTCAAGGAGAAAGGGAAAGAGCTGAGGTACCGCGGAAGTCTTTTATTTCCATAACCTTTTAGCTAAGATCGAGCCCAGCACAGAAACAGCCGCGGTGATGGCACTAGTAACATTAGCAGTGGTCGGTGTGGACAGCACGCCTTGTTCCCGAAATTCAAAGATACGCGAGATACGCAAGATATACGAGATATAGATGATATATATATAAGGTACGTGAGATATATACGAGGTACAGGAGACACACAAGCAGCCTCGCCGCTCTCCCGCCACCACCCCGCGAGGGAAAGCCCCGTCCGGTTCCGGGCGCCCTCAGGGCGCTCCCGCTCGGGCCGAGGGTTCGCCGGCCCCGCCTCACCGAAGAAGCCCTGCACGATGCTCAGGGGGTTGTTGAGCCAGTCGCCCACGCACGGCATGGCGGGGTCGCGCCTCGCCGCGGGGCTGCCGGCTCCTTGCGGCCGCCGCCTCCCGCTCGCCAGCCCCGCACGGGCACTGCCGCTTCCTCCTCCTCCCCTTCCTGCGGGAATGGCGGCGGGACCCGCCTTCTCCCCCCTCACGGCTGCGCGCGGCCGCCGCCGCCGCCATCTTGGGTGAGGGCGGAAGGGGCCGGGGCGGGACGTGGCCGGGGCGCGGCCATGGCGGCGGCGAAGCCCGGGGGAGGCACCGCCGGCACCAGCACCAACACCAACCTGCTCTTCTCCTCCTCCGCCACCGACTTCAGCTTCAACGTGCCCTTCATCCCCGTCAGCCAGGCGCCCGCCGCGCCGGGGCCCGCGCTGCTGCCCGCCGGTACGGAGGGAGGGAGGGAGGAAAGGAGGAAGGAAGGGGGGGTGAGGGGTCCCGCAGCCCCCCGGGGTGGGCTGAGGGGTCGGAAGGGCCCCGGGAGCCGGGCGGGGCTGCCAGAGGGGCTGAGGGCCGGCACGGCTCCGTTCGAGCCGGCCCCGGGGCTCTCCCAGCCCACTGTCACCCGTGGTGCCTCAGCGCGGACGGGCTGCTTGGGGTCATATATTCCGCTTTATTGCTTGTGCTTCCTTGTGTTCAGCGATTGTGCGTTTGGTTTTTAGTGTCGTGGCTGAGGAGAGGGGGTGTTTGTGGCGTTTTCAGCTCATCGATGTTTCAGAACGTTCGTTTCAGCCATTTAAAGGTCTCAGTGCTTCCATTCAGGGTGTGCTGAGTGATTTCACTGTTTTTAAGCTCCTCTCCCATTCTGCCTTCCGCTTTCCCTGGGTGAAAATAGCATGTTAAGCGGGCACCAAAAATATCCTTGCTAATTTAATCCCGGTTCTGTTATCCTTTCCCTCTAAAGCCCTGATGGTGTTCCCAGCACAAGTTAAAATCTCGTCCTCCAGCACCTTCAGATGAAGGAATGGATTTTTCTGGGAATGTGTTCAGTCTGAGATTAAAGCCCTAGACGTTAGAAATGCATCTGTAATTCAGATATTTCAAATTTTACTGTATTGTACATGTTGCAGCTGGACTAATGACCTTTAAAGGTCCCTTTTAACCCAAACTGTTGCATGTTGAGTCCAAAATCCAGGACTTCATTTCAACACCGTTTTATCTTAGCTAAAATAAGTACTAATATAGCTGGAAATTAGTGCAATCCATCTCTATAGATTTAATAAAATATTTGCTAATTATGGCTTTGAAACTTTTTTTTACATCAGCTATGTTTTTTGTGTGGGAGGGGTAAAAGCATTAGAATATTATCCCTACTTACATGAAATATCTGACTGGTTGGGACATTTACTGATTCCATTGTGCAATCCTTATAATTTTTCTTTCTTGCAAATACGTGTTAATTTTTGTTAAAGCAGACAAAGTAATTTTTAAGTGCTCGTCTCTCCAGTAGCTTTGCACAAATGACTGTTGTAGCGATTTCCTGAAGATTTTGAAGCCAGCCAGGGAGAAAAATCTGATGAGATTTCGTTAATGTGGTGAATTATATACTCTCCATCTCACTTAAAATTTGATCAGATGAGGATTCCCAGTTTTGCAGCTGGAGTGAATGTCAGTGCCAGAGGTTGTGGCACGTTCCACGTGTGTCCAAGTGTCATGGTTTGAGTAAGGCCCATGTCCTGTTAAATGTTCTGTTGCCATCCTCAGTTGCACTCACCATCTGTCCAGCCACGTGTTGCTGGGATCTGGTTGTGTAAAATGGTTTGTGTCTCGAATCATAGTTTGAAGAAGGAAAGAACAACATGTCAAGTTTGAATTTTAAATAGTGTAAAATGTAATAAGAATCAGTCTCGGGATTTGCTTGACATCTGCCAGCCAACCCTGAGAAGCCGCGTGCAGTCATTAATTTGTTGTGTCTGTCTCCAAGAGCGAGTAATTAGTGGTTTGAGCTTTGCAGTTTGACAGTAAAAGACACATTCTCTGGCTCAGGTGTGGGTGATGTAGCAAATGTATTTACTGTAGGTAGAGAGGAGTGTTCCCAGTGAGGGAGTGGATTAATGTCACTTGTGGTTGTCTGGTGACAGTCTGTGAATGACGAGGGAGGGAGGTACAGGAGGTTGACACAGTCACAGCTGAAGAAAGACTCTTTTGTACATGGGCAGGACGTTGCCCTCGCATGTCAAAGCTGTACATTCATTTTTTTAAATTGACAGGATGTGCTTGTTTTACTGCCAGGCTGGGCTTATATTCCAATGTAGTGTTTGCAAAATTAGAATCAGGAAAGATAGAAAGTAATGTATTGTATTGTAAACCAGCATGTGTATACATATATATATATATATACATACACATATAATTTTTGTTTTGGCAGAACTTTTGTCAGTCTTGTTTTGCGAGGAAAGCTGCAGTTAGACTAAACCTTTAAAACCTAGTTGAAATTGGAGAATAGTAGGGGTTTTGTGAATGGGCATTTGGTAAAGGCCCTGGGAGCTCTTCAGCACACTGCTACATGTTTATGGTGACCTGACATAGTGAGGTGAATTGCCAGTTATTTGGGAAAGCTGAGTGGAGAGCGTGCTGTGCAGTAGCTTCTCTCTGTTCCACTGTGTTTATGAAATATGGAAGTGAGGTGGATTTTGTTGTTTAGAAATTGAAACCTTTTATTTAGCATAAATGGCCATTCTGCTTGTAGTTGGGAGATAATCCCCAGGCCTGACTTCAGAGTGGTCATTGCTTGTAAATGCTTTCAGCATTCTCCACATGATGGCCTACACACACAGGTTTTGGGTTGTTCCACAAAGTGGGATAAGAGCTGTAGTTGAAAGTAAGAGAAATTGGTAAGATGTAAGGTAAGTAATTTGTAAGGCAGGTGATGCCTCAAATTGGCGCTGTCTGCAAAGACTACTAAATAAAAGATGGTTAAAATAGTTCTTTTTAATCTTGGCAGCTGCTTCTTTTATGATTAATTAATTAGAACAGCAGCTTCCTAGAGAGACTCCTCCGTGGATTCCCCTGTACTCCCTTGATACTCTCTAGTACAGTTTTGTTGGCTGTGGATAAAGACATTTGTTGTTGGCTGTTCTGGGGACTGAGTATCAGAGAAGCAGCAATACCTTTGGGGTGTCTTCCCCACAGCCTGGGGATTATTTGATTGCCAGAGCAGATGAAGCACAGTTCTAACCTCTGCAGATTGCACTGACTCCTTGCAAGGTGCTGTTCCCTCAGCAGGCAGGCAGTGCTGCTCAGGCCATCACAGGTTTAGCTGAGCTTACTGTGAGACCTCTAATAATGTCAAACCTCTTTTTTTTCCCCACTTGTTGCTAAATCACTGCCAAGCAGAAAACTGGGATTGACCAGAACCTGGTTTATTTTCTCAATGGCCTTGTACATTTTTAAACCCTCTCCTGCAATTATGCAGAGTGGGGACTGATTTTTCTGCACCAGAAATTTAGCTTTTATGCCAGGCTAGAGTAGGATTTTTAGGGAGAACTGGAGTAAATCCTGCTCATCAAGTGATCATGAGTTATGGCCACCTTGCAAGTCAGATGAGAAACCTTGTAAAGGCTGTGCTAAAGGAGCAGGCAAGAATGGATTGGTTAATCAGTAGGTTTGGCCTATTTGGGAATGTTTTTAAGGTCTAATTTTTTATTTGATCTTGGAAGTCTGAAAATTAGAGCATAAAGCCCTATGCTTAATAATTGGTTACATGGTGAAAGGATATGAACCAAGGCTGCCCTTGCATTTGTGAGGCGTAAATGAAGTTGGGAGGGATTTTAGTACCTGCCAAGTTGCCTTGGGAAGTTCCTGACTCCAGTTATACTTTGGTCTCTTATTTAAGGGTTTTAATATTTGGTGCTTATTCTGTGTACCCTGAGTGACTTATGATCAATTTTAAATGTTCTTGAAGACTCTGTATCTTTTGTTTCATTTTATGACATGCTTAATCACCAAGGCTGTGCAAGCTTTGTAGTACTTTTGGCTTTCTGGAGACCAACAGTTTTGGCAATAGCTGATAATGTTACAGAACATTTTGACTTCACACAGCAGGTGGTTTGAATGTCTCACGGTATCTCTGGTGGTCCTTTTGTCTTTGCAGATGATTCTGCAGATGTTGGGGAAGAGGACAGCTTCTTGGGTCAGACTTCTGCCAGCCCCAACCCACCACAGACTTTCAACTATTTCTCTCAAGTGCCCAGCAGCAGTGATCCCTTTGGAAGTATTGGGCAGCCACCCTTGACCACTGCTGCAACACCTGTGGGAGCACCAGCCTTCTCCAGGCCTCCAACTTCACCTCCGCTCGTGTCTGGGTCACAGGATGGGCAAAATGCCTTTTCACCTCATATTCCTAATTCCCAGTCCTACAGTGCACCACCCACCTCCCAGGTGGGAATCCCACCGTACCAGACCCCTCAGCAGAGCTGTCCCCCGCCCACCAGCGCGCCAGGACTCCCCCCAGGAACACCTCAGCAGGGCTACAACCCCTACAGACACACCACCCTGAGCAGCAGGGCCAACCCCTACCTCACCCCACCCCAGCTGCAGCAGAGCCACGCCCCTGCCCACACCCCCTCCTCTGTGCCACCCGTGCAGATGTACCAGACACCCCCGGGGCCTCTGACACAGGTAGGTCTGTCTGACACAGCTTTGTCTGTCTGACACAGCTGTGTCTGTCCTTCCCCATGGCCTGGGGCACAACAAAACCATTGAAGTTCTGGGCCCCTCAGCTCAGGAAGGAAATTGAGGTGCTGGAGCAGGTCCAGAGGAGAGCAACGAGGCTGGGGAAGGGACTGGAGCACAAGTGCTGTGAGGAGAGGCTGAGGGAGCTGGGGCTGTTCAGCCTGGAGAAGAGGAGGCTCAGGGGAGACCTCCTCACTCTCTGCAACTCCCTGACAGGAGGGGGGAGCCAGCTGGG